AAATATGAACAAAAAAATGAATTAACGTGTCCAGGCAGCAATGAAAGAGCAAGATTCATAAAATTACTAAAACCTTTCTCAAAAGTATTCATCTTGAGAGACGAAATTTAACAGTAACACGCGTTGAGTGCATTCTTCTGCCTCAAATCCTGTGTCGGTTCTGTACGGTTATTCATCCTACAGCTACCCGCGTGGTCATTTCCAGACAGATTTATTCTATTCCGACATTAATAAGTACAAAATACTTGAAGGATATTCATCAATACATCAAAGAAGTCATATCATACACCAGGTATTGTACGAGTGGTTCTAAGACATGGTCCAAAACCTCAAAAACACGGGAGTTCGCTCACTCCGTCAGAATCCATGAAAACACATGTCCAACATGGCGGAATCCACGCCGCATGGTTAGGATTTTCCAGTTCTGAAATACTGCCTTCAAATTACATATTGTGTCTAGTTTATAACTGTATCTAACTGACTGTGTTCTCATTTGTTAGACGAGTAGATCGTTGACATAGGGTGTCGGCTATTTGGGGACATATTTGAGTTTATTGGAGATGTTACACATCGCGCTACACACCTTGGAAAACGATGGCTGAAAAGAGGACGATTGCAGCGCCACTGTTGTGAAGGGCAGATAACTCTCATTTCCGTTGCAATAAGCTTTGTCACGGGCCAGAGGGGTTTGTGCGTGCGTGTGTGTGTTTCTATCAAGGGGAATTTCACTCAAACATCTACATACATACGTAGAGAGTATTAGCTGCGTAAAACACGAGAACAGAATTTTTTCGGGAACACGTATTTTAAAAACAACAACCAACCTTACAAGCCTTAAAGATGCATTTCGAATTTTACTAAAAAATATCTATTGCACGTTTCTTAAAATGTATGAAATATGCGGTTTTTCCAACTGTCTGTGACTGCCAAACAAAACAAATCAATACGAGAAAAGTAAATGTCAGATTTCGGAAGCCCAGGTTTCATGTCTAGATTTATAGGCCTACATTTTATTAGCTTTTCTATATATGTAAACGATCTTCGTGCATCGATAATAGTTTTAGCAGTATTTGATATTACGAGCAGCGGAAAACGGCCGCAATGGCCATAAAACTAAAGCATTTGGTGTCATTCGTGACCAACTCGTGTTATTCCGGGACAAGCCGAATAGCGATCTTCTTGCAGGTTACGGAAAGGGACGAGTGATGACGAATGCATTTGGTGTTTGAGGTCCAACATTACATGCTGTTACGTGTATTTTCTCAGTACTATCATATTTTTGGAATACCCAAACTTCCGAATCATACATACGGATATGTTGTACCGTGGTCTCAAATATTTTTAAAGTATGCCTCTGGCGATAGTACTCCTCTTTCATAGGCGGAGACAGGGGCGGTCGGGTAGCCTTGTGGTTAAAGCGTTCGCTCGTCACGCCGAAGACCCGGGTTCGATTCCCGACATGGGTACAATGTGTGAAGCCCATTGCTGGTGTCCCCCGCCGTGATATTGCTGGAATATTGCTAAAGGCGGCGTAAAACCATACTCACTCATAGGCGGACACAGCTTTTTCTAAAAGGGGGGGTGCACAATTAAGAGATCTCTTTATTGTTTTTGGTGGTAATTTATACAGAAATATTTAAAAAATCGAAAGGGGGGGGGGGGGGGGGGGGTTACGCTAATCTCCATTTGTGCTTTCTTTCAACGTAAAGGGAGATCAAAGAGAGCCTTTCCTATACTAAAATTACATATACCCAGAAAGCCTAAATACTTACAACTATGTACAACTTTCATAGCTTCCCGCTAATAGTACCAATGTATTTCTTGACGATAATCTACCTCCTTTTCTAAAAACTACGGGGGCACGGGTGGCCCAGTCGTCTAAGGCGCCGCGATTCGCTGTGCAGAGTTGCGTCCCTTGGGCACGCCAGAAACCTATGATTGTGGGTTCGAATCCCGGTTCGCCCCGATTATGTTTCTAGGTTTGTCAGCACCATACCCGTGCTCGTGGGTTTCACCGAAGTGGTAAACGTCTGAGACCTGCATCACTTCGGGCTTTCCTCCCGCATTAAGCTGACACGCCGTGATGTAACTGGAATAATGTTAAAAGCGGCGTTAAACCCAACTCACTCACTCACTCTAAAAACGACTACGTTGGACTTATCTTGATTAACCGTTAAACCTAACTCATCTGTATGCATTTCTCATAGCACGGATGTAAGAATCAAATGAAACGGACATAAAATATTTCCAAAAATCCATCACAATTATACGTATTGATTTCAAATACGTTTTTTCCACTCAGCTTCAGAGTGAGTGAGTATGGGTTTTCGCCGCTTTTAGCAATATTCCAGCAATATCACGGCGGGGGGTACACACATTGTACCAATGTCGGGAATCGAACCCGGGTCTTCGACGTGACGAGCGAACGCTTTAACCACCAAGCTATCCCACCGACCCTCAGGCCCAGAGAACGTTGGTTGGTTGGTTTGTTGTTTAACGCCGCACTCAGCAATATTCCAGCTAAATGACGGCGGTCTGTAAATAATCGAGTCTGGACCAGACAATCCAGTGATTAATATCATGAGCATCTATCCGCCCAATTGGGATCGATGACATGCATCAACCGAGTCAGCGAGCATGACCTACCGATCCCGTTAGTCGCCTCTTACAACAAGCATAGTCGCCTTTTACGGCAAGCATGGGTTGCTGAAGACCTATTCTACCCCGGAATCTTCCCTGGTCCCAGAGAACGTGGGGGTATTGTTACTATATAGGTGTTTTAATGGTAGGTGTGTTGTTCATATTATGGGGACTCCAGGTTGAAACAGGTCCCCAGCAACCTATGCTGGTCGTGAGATGTGGTCATCCGATGACGTGGGAGGTTGCTCATAATATCAATCACTGGTTGATCTGCTTCAGACTACTTGCCTGGTCATATCAATATTGCGGTGTTTTATCTATAATTAAATATTCCTTGTTAGATCTTTAAACACCCATAAACGCGAGATCGTATTAAACAGATACTTCCTTTATTCCAAAGTTGGTTTTGTCGAAATGTCTATTACAATTGGATTTTTTTATTCGAATTATCCATATCAGGAATTGTTTCTCCCGAATTCCATACTTTGGTGTATCTATTTATGTATATTTGTATGTGATGAGTATATGGCTTATAACGTTGTCTCAATGGACACAGTACATACCGAACAATGGACACTGTACATACCGAACAATGGACACTGTACATACCGAACAATGGACACTGTACATACCGAACAATGGACACTGTACATACCGAACAATGGACACTATACACACCGAACAATGGACACTGTACATACCGAACAATGGACATTGTACATACCGAACAATGGACACTGTACATACCGAACAATGGACACTGTACATACCGAACAATGGACACTGTACATACCGAACAATGGACACTGTACATACCGAACAATGGACACTGTACATACCGAACAATGGACACTATACACACCGAACAATGGACACTGTACATACCGAACAATGGACACTGTACATACCGAACAATGGACACTGTACATACCGAACAATGGACACTGTACATACCGAACAATGGACACTATACATACCGAACAATGGACACTGTACATACCGAACAATGGACACTATACATACCGAATGTAAATGAAATGTATGTTTGCGCCCAAACAACAATACAATACCAAGTTTTAAAAATATATTAGACAGTTTTTACAAAAAACAAAAAACAAAAAACCTTTTTCTCCAGAAAGTTTTTTTTCTATCTTGGGCCAGACGTTCCTGTGGATTACGGATTTTGATTGTGAAAACGTCGGTCGGTAGGTCGAAAATAATAGAATAAACTGCATTGAACAAGATTCTTTTAATCATCTCAAAGTTTGATTTGGATCGGTAGGTGAATAAAAAATATTTTTTGACTTAATTTTAATCTTGATCTAATATCAGACTTGGAATGATGATTTATCGTTGAAAGAAAATCTGTTTTAGTCATATAAACCATATAAACCCCTTGGATTATTGTTGTTGTCAAAGAATTACCTTCGTTGGTTTAAAAAAGCCCTTGCAATTCTGATTTTCCTTTCCCCCGATGTTTCGATTTTAGCGAAAGACCGTGGTTGTGACATACGGACAATCATTTTGGACAATACATAATAAAACTTTCACGTGATAAAGGAGGTGAGATTTTGCGCATATTATTTTGCACCATTTGAAATCATCCGTAACCTATTATATGAACATGTTGGTTTGTTGTTAAACGTCACACTCAGCAACATTCCAGCTATATGGCGGCGGTCTGTAAATAATCGAGTCTGGACCAGACAACCCAGTGATTGACGTTATGAGCATCGATCCACTCAATTGGGATACGTTGACATGCATCAACCACGTCAGAGAGCCTTACTACCCGGTCCCGTTAGTCGCCTCTTACGACAAGCATAGTCGCCTTTTACGGCAAGCATAGTCGCGTTTTACGGCAAGCATAGTCGCGTTTTACGGCAAGCATAGTCGCGTTTTACGGCAAGCATGGGTTGCTGAAGACCTATTCTACCCCGGATCTTCACGGGTCTATATGAACATGTAAAGCGTTTAACTTGATATGCATTACAAAGAGAAAATAAATCGAAGCAAAGCAGTTCACAAATCGCCGAGATCGCCTTTGTGTGATCCAGGCGCGTTAACGGCATGCGATTAATGCATAAGCTAGTTACGTGCCTGAAACAATTAATACCCGAGCGACGCACTTGATGACCTCGACGAACACCCGCAACTTATAGTTTGACCGGAGCATGGGTTCTCTGTATAATTCCTCTGGTTACCATATTGAAATTAACAAGCGCTCATTTCTCATTAAAACCAAGATACGTTGTGTTATCGTTAACCAGGAACGTTGCCTATTTCTAACTGATTTGCATACAAGCCGTGTTCTATGCTGAAACTCTATACTAAGTGCACCAGGAGCTCTAATAGCAAGGAAATGAGCGCTCATTTATCACTTGTTTTTTTCACTATTGATATCTGATAAAAACCGAGATCAACTGCTGCGATAAGCGAAACAATGTTCACCTTGACATTGATTAATATTTCTTTAGTTTTTTTGTTTTTGTTTTTTTTGCCTGACCAAATTGGCGAGTTTCGGATTTCTGCAAACATGGGGTGCGGGTTCCAGAGCGCTGCTATAGCAACCACGGGACGCGCGCTCCTCTGTGACGTCACGCCATTGTTGACACCCGAACGGAGAATGGTATGTATAAGCGGCCGCAGAGGAAGAATGGGAGGAAGTTTCAAGGCGTGATGTTGTGAACTTCGAGTCACCATGTGGAATAGAATTAGCGGTTCCACCGCCGTCACGGAGAAGCCAACCGTCTATCCAGAATGGTAAGATGATAATTACGTTATCAATGTGTGTCATCGTAATTTTTTAATTTCTTCAGATCCTGACAATCGACATGTCATGTCTGACAGAAAGGTATTCCTGGTGTGGAAAATAGTTATTGATTGATAGATAATAGTTGTACTTCTTTTCATATAATGTAATAATAATATTATAATTATGTTCATATTCAATAATAATCATAATCATAATCATAATCATAATAATCATAATCATAAAAATAATAAAAATAATAATAATAAAAAATAAGTGGATCATAGAAAAAATGGAAGGATAAATGAACGAACGCTCAAATAATGAATGGACGACGGACAGACGACGAACGTACGGAGGATAGACAGAAAAACAGAAGAACGAATCAATCAATAAATCATTTATTCACTTATTACACTTGTAAGAATGGAAAAAATGTATTGATTACTATCAAGAGTTAGCCAATGTAAATACAAAATGATATCTATGGCTACATTGCAGCCATATAGCTGGAACATTGCTGAGTGCGGCGTTAAAGAACAAACAAACAAATCTAAAGTTTCAATAGTATCCAAACAACTTTCAAGAGTACGCATAGTACTTACACATGTATATTTAAGAAGGCATAACTTACAATTCTTTTTTCTTCTTCTTTTCAATGTCTCTGTTGACTGTATGGACTGGAGATGGATTTAAATAGGATTTCTCAATATTTATCATCTTATGCATAAGTATAAATAAAATATTATTTCAAAATTTCCACTCAGGTTCTGCCTTGCATTGTTTGTGTATTTTCACATGGTTTTTGTGAACTTTGGTTTCCTTTCATTCTTAATATGAGCTGTGCAACATTAAGAGCCGACTACTTGGATCGGGTGGACGCGGTTATTTCCAGACCGTCGTCTTAGACCCAGAGTAGTGGTGCGTTGAACAACGAACGACCACACTTTAAAGGGAAAGGAATGAGGTGTGACCATCCTTTTGTCCCTTATACAAATTAAATTTCCTTTGGCAAATTGTTGTTGCTGTTTGCCGGGATAAAATATTGATTGATCTGTAGAGTTTGTTGTGCACATCATCAAATTATTATTAATTTTCTGTTATCAATAAATTCACATACTGTTAGTTATGCCCTTCACAAAAACGGATTTTGTGTTTGTCAAGGGGGCGTTTCAAAAGCTAAAGTCTGAAGAAATTCTTCATTCGGTGTTGGTGCAGTGCGCGTGGGTATGTGCATTGGTGTGGTGGGGGTGGGTGTTTGTCGAGAGTAGGGAGGGAGCCAAACAAGTCTTTTCAACTGTTCGGAGGATTTACGTCGCAAAAGTGTCTTAATCTAAGTAAACCTTTTGAACTGCCCCCTGACGTTGCATTAGTTCATCAAATCACTACGTACAGCCAATATGAGACTTAATAAATACTTTGTCCGTATGAAATCTCGCTTTATTCATATAATGATCGCTTAGTGTATTGTGCGACTATGCTACAGGCGCTTTGATCCGCCCTATAGTGCCGTAGATTAATCACGGCGTCATACGTTGTTATGCCAAACCAAACGCGACTTGGGTTGAATGGTTTAGCGAAATCCCAACAGAGACAGGTATACCCTTTAAGACTCACTTCAGACTTCAAAGGGTTTGGGCAGTCAAACAGAAAAATATGTCTAATTACTTTTGAATTGTTGCTAATGCACTCAGCGTAGAGCGGGCCATTTGGAAGAGCACATTGATCTGCGACTGACAGATTAAGTATACAGTCCAAGATATTGATATAAAGTGCAAAATATTGATATGAAATGCAGGGTATTTATACCAAGGGCAATATATGTATAAATAAGTGCAATAAATTGATATTAAGTGTAATATATTGATATAAACTGCAATAAATTGATGTCAAGGGCAATATATTGATATAAACTGCAATATATGGATATAAAGTGCAATATTTGATATAAATTGCAATATATTGATATAAACTGCAATAAATTGATGTCAATGGCAATATATTGATATAAAGGGCAATATCTTGATATAAATTGCAATATATTGATATAAACTGCAATAAATTGATGTCAAGGGCAATATATTGATATAAACTGCAATATATTGATGTCAAGGGCAATATATTGATATAAACTGCCATATATTGATATAAAGTGCAACATATTGATATAAAGTGCAATTTATTGTTTAACGCAGAACTCAGCAATGTTGTGGCTTGATAATAAGCAAATCTGGGCCAGACAATCCAATGACTGACAGGAATAACATTCCCCCCTACCCCCACCCCCCACCGTGGAACGACGGTCACCAATCTCATTAAAATCAGATCTTAGTTCTCGCTGAAGCTTTGTTTTGCGGCGAGAACTTAGATCTGATTTTAATGATATTGGACAGTCACGAGTCTAACAACCATGTCAGCGAACCCGACCCTCCGATCCATTCTGACGCCTCCTGCTAGCACATCAAACTAACAGGCAGTGACGAGGGTGAGTGAGTGAGTGAGTGATTTGGGTTTAACGCCGCTTCTAACAGTATTCCAGTTATATCACGTCGTGTCAGCTTAATGTGGGAGGAAATCCCGAAGTGATACAGGTCTCAGACGTTTACCACTTCGGTGAAACCCATGAGCACGGGTATGGTGCTGTTAAAAACCTAGAAACATAATCGAGGCGAGCCGAGATTCGAACCCACAATTGGGAATCCAACTGCCGTAATGTAACTGACACAGTGTTCAAAGGGACTTTAAACATACCTCAGTCATTCTAAAAGACAAACCAAATCATGTAATAGGACTATATTAAATAATAAATCGGTATTGTATTGAAACAGCAAAGCAAATTCTACATGCTCAGGTATTGTGCGCCATATATGGAATTCCGTACGACACAGGGCATATTGCGGTGTAAAACTACATTCATTCATCATATGTCCATTTGTATGCAGCATGTCATCGATCCCAATTGCGACGATCGATGCTCATGATATCAATCACTGGATTGTCTGGTCCAGACTCGATTATTTTACAGACCGCCGTCATATAGCTTGAATATTGCCGAGTGCGGTGTTAAACAACAAACAAAAAAACAAACATTTGTATGCATCTGTATGACCGTGTGCTTCTATAGTCTCGTACTATAACAGGCTATCCAGCACGGAAAGATGTGAGAAATATCGTTATCTTCGAAACATTATTTACTCTAAGCGTTTTCGAAACACCGCCTTCTCATCCAATTGCTTGCGGTTACTAAAATAGCCCATGCACTTTTTGTTTGCACCTGTGTGATACGGGTCGCTCTGGACGTGGTAACAAAGCTGAATGTTATCGGGGGAGCGTTGTTCGGGGGAACCGGCTCTCTGTCAACCTCTGGCGATAAGAACCTTCCTGTTGAAGTACAGTCCGACCGCCCTTCGGGGGACTCACACTCATTATGAGAGTGACTTTGGTTTCACGCCGCCTTATGTAATCTTCCCCCAATTTAAAGCGAGTGAGTGAGTGAGTGGGTTGGGTTTGACAGTTATATCGCGGCGTATCAGCTTAACGTGGGAGGAAAGCCCGAAGTGATGCAAGTCTCTGACGTTTACCACTTCGGTGAAACCAATGTGCACGGGTATGGTGCTGACAAACCTAGAAACATAATTTGGGCAAACCGGGATTCGAACCCACAATCATAGGTTTCTGGCGTGCCCAAGGGAGGCAACTCTGCACAGCGAATCGCGGCGCCTTAGACGACCGGGCCAACCGTGCGCCGCTTAAAGCGAGTGACACCGAGAAGGGGTTTCATGCTTTTTACCAAAGTTTGGAACCCGGGGGCTAATGTGTAAGGAAAGTTTAACGACTTCGGTTACCTACAGCCCCTTCAGAGTGTGTTGGTGAGTGTGTAAGTATTGTGCGAATTGGTGAAGGAGTTAGTACGTAATCGCGTAAATTTCATGAATAGGTGAGTAAGTTATGGTGACTGAGCGAGTAAGATCCGGGGTAGATAGGTCTTCAGCAACCCATGCTTGCACATGTGTTGTGAGCGAGTTCGTAGGCACGTGTAAAGTGAGTGAGTGTGTGCGTGTGGACAGGTAAGCAGTGAGTGAGTGAGTTTGGTTTTTTACGCCGCTTTTAGCAATATTCCAGCAATATCACGGCGGGGGACACCAGAAATGGGCTTCACACATTGTACCCATGTCGGGAATCGAACCCGGGTCTTCGGCGTGACGAGCGAACGCTTTAACCACTAGGCTACCCGACCGCCCTGACAGGTAAGCAAGGAAGTGATTAAATGTGTGTGTGTGTGTGTGTGTGTGTGTGTGTGTGTGTGTGTGTGTGTGTGTGTGTGTGTGTGTGTGTGTGTGTGTGGTTCAGTGCCGGAAAAAATAAGTGGACGCGACTGAGTACATTTTAAGCCGTTCTACGTACTGAAAAACACTGTCTCCGACAATAGTCTTCACACACTATACCAAAGCGCCCTCGATCTGGTCCTAGAAATGCTGGTTAATTGTGTTCAGGTATAGTTGTTTGTTTGTTTGTTGTTTAACGCCGCACTCAGCACAATTCCAGCTACAGGCTTATGACGGTTATCCTGACCCCCCGATCCCGTAAGTTTTGCCTCTTACGACAAGCATAGTCGCCTTTAACGGCAAGAATGGGTTGATGAAGACCCATTCTACCCCGGATCTTCACGGGTATTTTGAACTAAGGTTAAGGTCGTGAGACGGAACCATTGCAGTAAACATGATCTATTGATCTGTGTAATCTGTCATTGTGTTAACACATGTTGACGATCCAACGTTTCTATACAGTTACCGTAGCTTCTTAAATACACGCCCCTGGAACTTACAACCACCCACCAGAATAAATTATTAGGCGTGACAGTATAGTATTGTTATACAGGATAATTTATTTTCCCATAATAATCATTAATAAGTATTTACATTACAATGGCTAGATTTGCCATAATCGTCCTGTCTGCATCCTGTACATGGGCGGATACAGACAAGGGGGTCCACCAAAGACACTAAATAGA